ATTAGGGGAAGCATTTTTTGATATGCATGTTCACAGATACAATAGTTAATCTCCTCTCAAGAACAGCAAGATTGATTCAGTTGGAATATCTAGAAAAGGAAGTGTTGTTTCACCCGCTCCTTGCTCTTGTTGCTTGTTACATGTAAAGCAATAGTGCAAAACATGACTTCCTGGAAATGGTCTGAGTTACTTTCAGTAAAGTAATAACTATCCCGAGTAATTAGTTTGTTAAACTATTACAATAGTGCATATTAGCCAATACAAACCTTTTCTAACGGTGAACAAACTTAGAAGCAAACTTACAACTTGAAAATTACTTGAGGACTTCTGATTTTGGAAACTGGCTTGTTTTGAGATTTTTAATTTCTGTATCCCAGAAGAGAGAGTTACTGCTACCAATACTGCTATTCCCAGTGAGCTTAAATATTCAGCAATTTATAGTCAGAGACATCTTTAACTTAAAGCAAGAAGAGACAATGACTCAAGTGTCTATTAAAGGCCCCGGTTCCATTGAAGATGTTAGAAAACAGTAGCATTTTAAATGAGACACACATAGTGTAGCTTATCTGGTTCTGACTCCCTGGTCTCACACCAGTCTATAGATGCCTCTGCTTCTGTTTAATCACTTATAGATTTTAAGGCCAGAAAGGATCATTATGATCTTCTAATGCGACCTTCGGAATAACACAGGGCATAGAATTTCATCAAGCCCACAATCATCAACAACCTTCTAAAGGAACTAGAAGGTCATTGTTCTGGAACTATAGCCAATGCAGTTACACTCCAATTAGAAATCCATTACTCCTAATAAATTCACAGACTTTTGCCAGATTACTAATTAATGTGCAGCTGTTTATGACTGATCAATAAAATCTACAGTTTAAGAACAGAGATAAGATGTCAATCAAGGTGAAAGTTTATTATATCAGGATAAATAATGGGTTTGTTAAATAGCACATTCATTTTTATCAGCCCTATAGGTAGGGCCCTACCAAATTCACAGCCATGAAAAACACGTCACGGATCGTGAAACCTGGTCTCTCCCCGTGAAATCTGGTCTTTTGCGTGCTTTTACCCTATACTATAGAGATCTCATGGGAGCGACCAGTGTTTCTCAAATTGGGGGACCTGATCCAAAAGGGATTTGCCAGGGTTGAAAGGTTATTTTAGGGGGTCACGGTATTGTCACCCTTACTTCTGCACTGCCTTCAAAGCTGGGCAGCCAGAGAGTGGTGGCTGGTTGGCCAGGCCCTCGGCTCTGAAGGCAGTGCCCCGCTAGCAGCAGCACAGATGTAAGGGTAGCAGTACTGCAACCCCCTCTGCAGTAACCTTGTGACACACACACACACTCACCCACCCCACCCCTCCTTTTTAGGTCAGGACCCCGACAGTTACAACACCATGAAATTTCAGATTTAAATATCTGAAATCATGAAATTTACGATTTTAAAAACCTATGACTATGAAATTGACCAAAATGGACCATGAATTTGGTAGGGCCCTACTTAGAGGGGAGTGCAGCTCACTGCAAAGGGTTCTCAGATCTTGAACTTGTTTTTCCCCAATAGCCTGTCAGAACCAGTATCTGACTATAGTAAAGTGTGATGCAAGATTCTCGTTTGGCCTGACTGAGTTCTTTCAGTTGGGTATGCTTTATGAGTCACTGCATAGACAGTGTATACAGTACTCAGAGCTGTATTAGTTTACCTATTGGGTAGAATAAAGTTTGTTTTCTAAGTATGTAATTGCTGATACGAATGCAGAATTACTAATAATTTATACATTTTAATAGGTTATGGATCACAAATTAGCATTCATTTTCCCATAAGGCACACAAAGAGCAATTAAAGAATGCCACGGTCTTTTTAAAGAAAGGAGTTAGTGTTTCATTCCATTCAACAAACTATAGTGATCTGGGAACTTTCTCAGTAAGTAACCTTGAAAGGAGAATAGAATAGAGCAGGGTACTATTCTTGATAAGAATAAGTAAGTTAAGGTATCATCTGTACAATTCAATACCACTCATAATCCTCAAAAAGAAAAGGAGTACTTGTGACACCTTAGAGACTAACAAATTTATCTGAGCATAAGCTTTTGTGAGCTACAGCTCACTGCATCCGATGAAGTGAGTTGTAGCTCACGAAAGCTTATGCTCAAATAAATTGGTTAGTCTCTAAGGTGCCACAAGTACTCCTTTTCTTTTTGTGAATACAGACTAACATGGCTGCTACTCTGAAATCACTCATAGTCCTGTTTCCTAGTGATTAGACTTTTGGAATAAAGTTAAATTCAAAGCTGACTTCGAGCAACAAATGCCATGTAATGACAAAAAATAAATATTTTACAAGTTACCAGAATTAGTGATTTTAATCATATGTGAAAACTCCCACAAAGAGTCACAAGTAACTCAAGAAGGGAATCCTTCTGGAAAAGAACCAAAAAACCCAAAACAAACAAACAAAAAAGCACAGGACAGACGCATCAGTATGCTTGTAGCTAAGGAAGCAAAAGACTAATTATCATAAATACAAACTAAACATAGAAAACAAAACCACTAACAACATTACATGCTGGGGACTTCTTCATGAATGCTCTAATGATCTCAAGTTTAGGAGAAGTTTAGATTGAACATTTTAAAGTTTGCTGTACAACTGTACAGCAGACATCAATTACTTTGTCATTTTCCCATCCCCTTTGAACTTGCGGTTGACATTGAGTTTCTACACTCCAGAAAAATAGGAACCACCCCTATCATTAGTTGCTGCAGCTCTCCCTAGTTTATCTTTATGCATTTGGAGTGCTGTCAGACTGAACTTTGGGCAATATAGTGCCCTTGCCTTCTATTGATGTTAGAGACAGAGTTCTCATCTGTGCTTACTATATATAGCCATTGATTAAAATTTGCTGTTATCCATTTCAATGAGCATAGTACATATTCTGAGCCTTTCATGAAGGTATACTAACTGTTTGCATGTGATTGTTCCCAGAGATGAACTTCAAACTCCAACATCTTGTTAGGGTGAATTTTTCCAGGGAAAATGATTCTTCTGGTCTTTGAGAGGACTATTGGACAATTACTTCTGCGTCTCTTGAATGCGGGTGGCGGGAATGACCCAGCACTCTATGAAGAATTTGTGTCAAGATCTTTGCCTTCACAGAAGCATATGCTTATTTTAGCATTTAACCTTTCAAACAGCCTGGGTGAGATTGTGAGGAATTACCTCATGTTTAAAGTTCTAAGTACTGTGGTGTAGATTCCTCGCTTCACTCACATGGATCTGCTGACTGGACTGCATGGGGGTTAGACTGGATGACCCTTGCGGTCCCTTCTAACCCTATGGTTCTATGACTATGTCAACCAGCTAACATTGATCCTGTTCATAAACACAGTTATCACACACACAGTGACCTGGCCTGTTTTTAGAGACTGGAGGCCGCTACACAATCTGGGTCCTGACCCACATCCACTCCAAGTTTGGGAGCATTTGAATACAGGCAGCTTTAGGTCCATTCCCACCACCACCCCCAGCCTCTGCCCCAAGACTGCGCTCTCTTAGAATCATAGGGTTAGAAGGGACCGAAAGGGTTTAGTCTAACCCCCTGCCAAGATGCAGGATTTTTTTTTTTTTTTTTTTGGTGACTAAACTGATAGTTATCCAGCCTCCTTTTGAAAATCTCCAGTGAAGGACCTTCTATGACTTCCCCAGCCAGTTTGTTCCCTTGTCCTAATGTTCTTACAGTTAAGAAGTTTTTCCTCAGATTTAATCTAAATCTGCTATGCTGTAGTTTGAACCCACTGCCTCTTGTCCTGTTCTCTGTTGGAGAACAAAACAACTTTTCTCCATCTTTTTTAATGGCAGCCTTTCAAGTATCTTATCCTGTCCCTGCCCTTAAACTCCTCTTTTCCACACTAAACATATCTAGTTCCTTCAGCCTTCACTTTTATGGCTTGCATTCCATCCCTTTGATCATCTTTGCTATTCACTTCTAGATCCTTTCTAGTTTCTCTACATCCTTTCTATACATTGGTGACTAAAATTGGACACAGTACTCCAGACAAGGCCTAACCAGCGTTGAGTAGAGCGGTACTGTGTCACATCCCCTGACTTGCATGTGATGCCCCTGATAACGGAACCTAAAATTACATTTGCTCTTTTTGCAACAGTATTGCATTGCTGAGTCATGTTGAGGCTGTGATCCACCTCAACTCCCAGATGCTCCTCAGCAGTGCTGCTACCAAACCAGTTATCCCCCATTTTGTATTTGTGCATTTGGTTTTTCTTCCCTATGTGTAGCACCTTACATTGTCTTTGTTGCATTTCATTTTGTTGTCTATAGCCCAGTTCTCCAATTTATCAAGCTCCCTCTGACTTTTAGCTCTGTCTTCCAAAGTGTTTGTAACCCTCCCCCTAGCTTGGTCTCATCTGCAAGCTTGATCCTACACAGTTGTACAGTAAACTTTTGATAAGATCAACTCCTAACAGTGAAGCGTCCGGTGTTGTTTCGGAAAGTGGAAGGATTTGAACTGCCCCCCCCCCCCCAGCTCAGAAATACAGCGGTGCCCCCCCCCCCCCCAGTCAGAAGGATGGCAGCAGGGAGCGCGTCCCTAGTGACTTGAATTCCCGTGGCCGGGGAAGCGGCTGAACAATCCTCCACAGCAGGCAGCGGGGCAGAGGGAAAGCGAAGTGGCTCCGCGCCCCCCCCGTGATCTTCCCGGCGGCTCCATCTGTTCCCCGCCCAGGCTCCCCCTAGCAGCACTCGAGCGGCCCATTCATGCCTAACAAAGGGCCGCCCGGCCCTCTGCGCCGCCCCGCAGCATCCCAGGTACCAAGGTGGGCGGGGGAGGCGGGGAAGGGAGCGAAAAGCGGCCGCCGCCGGAGGGAGAAGGCGCCGACTCTAGCGCCAACTTCTCCGACCGCCGGGCGGCGCCGCTGATTGGCGGGGCCCGCCGCGGGAGCTCCCCCGCCGGCCGCGCCTGATTGGCCGGATTGTAAAAGTGAGTCTCAGGGCGCCAGAATAGAAGCTTTAGCGCCGAGTGGCATCTCCGGGCAGCGGCAGCAGCGGCGCCGGCACGTTGGCGGGGCGGCCGCGGCTGGGCACAGGGCGCTCTCCTCTCCCGTCGCTGCCCCCATGCACCCCCCGCCTCCCGGCTGCTCCGGAGTGCGTGGCGCTGCTGCGGGGGAGGCCGTGAGCGAGGGCCGGGAAGGGCTGTATCCCAGAGGTAAGGGCTGACGAGCCGCGGGGGAGGGGGGCCGCCCTCCCCCCAGTAGAGCCCCAGCCACTTCTTTAGGCTTGCCGCGCACTCCCCCTGTCGCTCCAGCCTGCCGGGCTTGGGGAATATGGAGGGGGGGGGGAGGCTGCTCTGAATTGAGCCTCCAACTGCATCAGCAGGTACGAGCCGCCCCTCCTTTCGTGCCTGGGGACTTGGGGGTTCAGTGCCAGGGGCAGCCGGGCAGCCCCCGCCCGCTGCCCAGGGGGAGCGGGGCTCTGCCGAGCTCTCCCCGCCGGGGGCTGGCCGGCCGCTCTTCTGTCCCATTCATTCAAAGCTGCGATTCCTCCAGGTTCTTTGCGCCAAAACTAACTGCCCCGCAGGAGACCCTCGGCGCTGCTGACTCGGTCGCCGCCGGCTCCCACCGAGCTGGGGTAGCTCGCTCAGCCGCCTTCCCTCCTCACGCACTGCAGCCGTGTCCCACGGGGTTGATTTTCCAGCATTTCTCAGGGAAAGGCTGATTCCTGGGGCTAACGCTGAGAGTTGGTGACGGTCACAGGAGGGCAGCTGCAGGCTGCCAAGGTCACCTTTTGGGGATGGGAGGGAAACTATAGATTAGCCTCTGGAAATCGGTGTGTGTGTGTGTGTGTTTAAATGAAGTAATATCAAACTTAACCTGTGCAATTTTATAATTTACAGATGGAGGTAAGTTGCTTAACACTAAAAGACTTGATCAGCCCAAGACACACAAGAATCGATCTGGTAGATGAAGATGGGAAAAATGCACAAAAGGTGAGTAAATGGACACAGATAACACTTAAAAGTGTTTCTGAGTAAGATTTATGGCCAATACTGCAACACCAACACCTGAGGACTTCGAATTTTGTTGCAAAATGTGTTGTATCTTGAACTACCTTTGTTTTTTTTTCCAGGTGAATGGACTTTGGTAGGTTCTGAAAATGGTTTTAGCATGTTACAAACGTGTACTAGTATTTCTGTACTAGAGATGAATATAACCTGCTAGTCTGTGGCTATTTAAGAATATAAACTATTATTTATAGGACTGTTTATGTCTAATTCCCACTGACCTTTGAGATAAGGCCCAAGGTAGTAAGTTTGCCCTCTTAAACACCAAGACTAAAATATAACATTGTAATATTCTTTCCTCTCTCTGCCATTTTAGTTTTTCCTTCCTTCCCAGCTCAGTTGCTCCTGCCAGCATGTCAAGTTGATAATTTTGGGGTGGGAAATAGGAGACATCTTGGCTTTTAAATTGAATGAAAGGCCCATTTCCCCTCCACCCCCTTGTCCTTTCAAGGAAGCAGTCAAGAATTTAGTCAGGATTAATTAAAGAGGACATTAACAATACCTTTGCCATCTGGGGAAAGGATTACAGAAAATCCTATGTATAAAGCCATATTGGGTAACTGTATGGAGCACACTGAGACCCAGTTACATATGGTTGTGAAAGGATGCAGAAAGCATAGGCTTAGATGAGGCAGGGTTAGACCCAGCCAAAATAGTTTTGAAACAGGTCTAAGGTGAGTAATGAGGCAGATGCATCTGAAGATGTACTTCCCAGGAGCACATCATTTAAATATCCCCTCTCCAGGGCATTTCTGTAAGCTTCCTGCTGGCTTACGATAGAGCCTAGAATACACATATGTGCACTAGGAGCTGGTTGTGTGTATTAAGGTTAAAATCTTATGGGTCTGCATGTTTCAAAAAGCTTTCAGGATTGGCAATATTGTTGTTTGCAAATCAAGACTAACTGGACAGCTGCATCACTGCTCTGCTAGCCTTTTAATGGATTGATGCAGTGTCTTAGCTAACAATGTGACCACTTCACCTTGGCCTTCTACTTCTGATGGAACATTATATTATATGCACATAATCAAAATTGTTTCTCCCTGTTCTACATTCCCCTTGTACTTTCAACCTCCTTGGAGCAAGAGGCACCCCAGAATCTCTTCTTTTCACCTTTTTACACATACTATGAATCCATGTGGGTAATGGCAAATTTGGGATCTAAAGACCTCCCAAGGAGTATATGGGACTGGGAGAAAGGAAGGGTTGTGTTTTGTTTTGTTTTGTTTGTTTTTTTAAGATAAACTGGGATAGGTGAGTCAGTGAGGAGGATTAAGATGTCAAGGCTAGGTAGTAGGTACATGTTCGGCATCCATTTACAGCTTCAGCCATTACTTATTGCTGCTCAGTGTAACGTTTGTACACCTGGGTGAATTAATGGGAGCTCAGAGGGATAACTTTCAAGTAACTTGATTGCTAGTTCTAGGTATCTGCTTTTGTTATAACTACATTAGCACCAAGCATAATAAAAAACAGCTTTATATAAAGGTGGGTTTTTTTTCTATTTTAGATTAAGTGTTGAATCCTTGCCACATTTGAAATTCCAAGACTATATTAAGTGGATTAACTATACTGAACATGTATACCAGGAAGCACCCCTACCTTGAACCCTTTTTGTCAGTGTATTAAGTCACAACACTTATCTGAAATAAAAATATCTTCCTTTACGTTCTTGTGGATAATCCAATTGGGCATTATAATATTTTATGTAATCATTCTGAATGTCCAGAGCACAGTGCCTTTTCCTACTCTTTGGATGTCTGTCCTCATCCCCAGATAGCAAACTATGGAAGGCTTTCTATTAGGAGCAATAACATCTGGCTAAATTTTTGAACTTTAAAATCCAGTTTCTGCATTCCAATTAAATTGGATAAACTAGTGCACTAGTTTAAACAAAATTCTATGATGTCTCCTTATCAATTAGCTATAATTCTCGAGCCACTGAGAATTGAATGGAGCAATAATTTTAGCTGAAATTCATATAAAAACTTATGCCTTTTAGATAGCTTTTCCATCTTGTACATTTTTCTGTGAACTTCTGCCTTGCAGCACCAACAATGAAAATGAGACCACTTTTATAACAATATCTATCCCAAAAGTTCTATTATGTATATTTGGTTATGTTTTTAAAATTCATTTTGCAGAGATTTTAAAACATCACTAGTCTGAGGTGGAGGAATTTATGTTCGGTTCAGGACAAACACCAAAAACACTACTTGACTGAGGGACCAGTAACTGTTTCAGGGTCTCATTTCTAGCCCTTATAGTTTAAGAACACTTTCCAGTGATACTAAAGACTTGGCTTCTAAGAACAGCAAGTTGTAAAATCTGATATTAATTTCTGGTTATCATTTTACTTTCTTCATCTCTTACCTCTCACTTCATCTGAGATATCTGCAACCAGTATTTCAAACTGCTAGATTGAGAAACTGAGTCATACCATTTGAAAGCCAGAAACTGCCATTTTTAATCCATGTAAAGCATCAGAAGTTATTAAATGGTAATCAGAATGATTTAATGTCTGATGTCTTGTGATCTCTCAGGGCTAAAAAATTTTTGGTAGGGCTTTAGTACCAATGGCTTTCTCTAGGTACTGGTCAGTCCAGAATCAGTGATCAGAACAATAACAAAGAAAAATCCAGTGGTAGCTGGCAGATTCAGTAAACAGATTAGATCCATCGACTTTAGGTTAACTGTGCGTGATGTGTTGCCCACTGGTAATACTCCGTTGCAGCAAACAAAGCCCAAGTAAGACTAATTTTTCTCATTCTCTCCATCCTGTTAGTGTAGGGCAGGGGTGGGCAAACTTTTTGGCCCAAGGGCCATATCGGGATGCAAAACTGTATGGAGGGCCAGGTAGGGAAGGCTGTGCTTCCCCAAACAGCCTGGCCCCCACCCCCATCCGCACCCTCCCACTTTCTGCCCCTGACTGCCCTCCTCAGAACTCCCCACCCATCCACCCCCCTGCTCGTTGTCCCCTGACCGCCCCCTTCCAGGACCCCCTACCCCTGACCGCCCCCTCCTGGGACCTTACCCCCATCCAACCCTCCCTGTTCCCCATCCTCTGCCACTCCCCCACCCCGAACCTCTGCCCTATCCAACCACCCCCTGCTCCCTGTCCCCTGACTGCCCCCGGAACCCCCTGCCCCATATCCAACATCCTGACCCCCTTACCATGTGGCTAAGAGCAGCATGTCTGGAGCCACACCACCCAAGCTGGAGCCAGACGCGCTGCCGTGCATGAGCGAGCAGCCCCACCACCCAGAGTGCTGCCCACGCAGTGGCATGGCTGTGGGGGAAGAGGGAACAGCAGCGGAGGGGCCGGGGGCTAGCCTCCCTGGCAACGAGCTCCGGGGCCAGGCAGGACGGTCCTGCGGGCCGTAGTTTGCCCCCTCTGGTGTAGAGTGAGAAACCTGTTCAACTGAGGGAGTACCTGTTGCTCAAAAGCAGCTTTTCCCGCTAATTAAGGAATGACATTGATGCCTACTTGAGTCAATCCATCTAAGTAAGTTGGACTGTAACACAACTTTTGTGGTAGGGGGAAGGGACAAAAGAGTAGTCACAGCCTCATTCCTGTATAAGAACCTAAGTGAAAAATGAGCATCAGATCATGTAGCTGGGGGCAAGGAGGTAATTCTTGTTCTTACCTTACTTTGAGAACAAGTCATATGTAGATTTCCCCTTCCCAGCAGCTTGCTTGACTATCGTTAATACTGCTTTAGTTATATATTTTCATTGTTTTGAGCAGTAGATACTATAGCAGTCAATTTGCTTCAATTAGGGAAGTGTTCCATCTGGGCTGAGTAGATTTCAGTGAAATCCCCAAAAAGGGCTTTCCACTATGGAGATTCCAAAATAGAATGCTATGTTTTTTCCTAAGTGCAAAGTAACTAGTGAACTATTTAAGCTTCAGTCCAAATTCAGCAGGAAGACTCCAGGGGATAAACTGGGTTCATAATTTGGACCAGTTGGTTTACAGTTGTGGCACAGTTGGCTTATATGAAAAGGCAGAACATAGAAGTCTGACAGACAACAGGTTTGACTGACTGATTTCATCTGAAGCAATTCATGGTGGTATCTTATCTGCATTGTACACCATACACTGATGTATGGTATACACTTTGCTGCATCTGATGCTAATAAGAGCTATGCTAAATATATGTCAGAGTATGATGGGACTCATTACCTTCATATGAACAATGGCATTGACTGGTGGACTGTTGCTTCTCTTCAACCCTAAATGATCCTCTTTTTCATAGGAAAACATATTTGATCAATCCAGAATGAATCCAAAGACTCCCATGAAAAATGAACCAATTGATTTATCAAAGCAAAAAGGCTGCACCCCAGAAAGAAATCCAATTACACCTGTTAAGCTTGTCGACAGACCTCTGGCAGATCCATGGACCCCCACAGCTAACCTGAAGATGCTTATTAGTGCTGCTAGCCCTGACATGAGGGACAGGGAAAAGAAGAAAGAGCTCTTCAGACCAATTGAGAACAGTGAGCAGAATGATGCTTTTCCTGATTCTGTACAGGTAAGAGACTTAATCTAGTAAGCTTGGACATAACTGACACACACTGCCTTCTACCTGCTGCAGGCTGACTAGTTAATTGATATTTTATTACTTGGTTTAAAAAAATACTATTACTTCCTCAGTCTTCCTGCCACTCACCTTTACTAGGAGTGGAGAGCAGTGCTATTTGAAAGCGTCCTCAAAGATGACCATTTATATAGCAATGCCAGCGTGCAAGCCATTTCAGACAAAGATCACCATCTTAAAAACTTACTGTCTAAGTATTTCTTCAGATACTCGGAGACTGGACATGGTTACTTCCCCTCCCTTGCCAATTGATGTCCTTTTCAAACTAAGGCCTAGCCACAAGGAGAGGAAAACTGCTAAGTCAGTTAAACAGATTCAGCATAACAGCGCAGTTGGCTACTGTACAACTGTTTTAAAGACAAACTAACCAAGTCTTGGGCATTTTTAAAAATAGGACTGTAGAAGCTGTATACCTTAGCCACACTGGATTGGCAAACCACATTTATACCTCATTCAGCAAAACACACCTCCACATCTAACAGTCAGGATGAGAATAGTCAAAAATTACACCTGAATGGTTTCCTGATTAAGCAGGATTTTACATTCAACGTGGTGTTGGGTTTTTGCTAGGGGATTCTGCTCCCCATCCTTCCTTTAAAAAAAAAAAAACAAAAAACCCACACCCTCCAAACAGCTTGGAGCTGTAGGAGAGCAATTTCAGCTTTCATCCAACAGCAGCATCCCCTCCTTTTGTTTCTTGCTCCATTAGCTCCCCATCCCAAGTTATTGCTCATAGGAACCACTGGCAAAAGGGGCATCTAACAACAGCAACATGAAACTAACTAGAGTCTAGTCACTAGGCCCTCGTTCTAAGAAAATGCTATTTTATAGGCATAAAGGCTCACAATTCTTTAGGAGCGAGTACGGCACTGAACCAGTTTATAGCATTTCCTTGTTTGAATAATGGTGGGGGAAAGACAGAGCTGGGGCAAGCAGACTAACAAAGTTATTGAAAGATCACACACAACTTAGCTTTCAACAAGCAATGTGTAAAAAAAAAAAAAAAATGCTACATTAAATTTTAGTTGTTTCCTTCTCCAAAACGATAACTGAAATAATTGCTGGGTTTGGTGAAGCAGTATGGCCTAGTGGATAGAGCACTGGACTAGGACTGAGGAGTCGTAGGTTCTATTCCAAGCTCTACCATTGCTTGCTGGGTGACCTGGGCAAATCACTTCATCTCTGTGCCTCAGTCTGCCCATCTGTAAAATGGGGCTGATAATATTGACCTTTATAAATAAGGCCCTACCAATTTCACGGCCATGAAAAACATGTCACGGACCATGAAATAAGCCTTTTCCCCATAAAATCTGATTTCCCCTGCTGCCGATAGCCTGGGGCTCCTAGCTGCTAGTCCAGCTATGCTGGGGAGAGACAGGAGTTGTCCTTCCCGTGCACGGCTGCTCTTGGTGGGGAGATCAGACCTACCTCCAGAGGCAGCACAGAAATGAGGGTGGTACCCCCTAACTTCTGCACTGCAGCAGTCCAGGAGCTGGGCTGCAGGCTCCTCCCCCCTCCACAGCTTCTGTCCCGGCTCTGGGCCCTGAGCTGTGGCTTCAGTACCCAGCAGCTCCTGGCAGGCTCGGGGCTTCCGCTCCCAGAGGCTACAGCCAGGGCAGCCCAGGTTGGGGGGCCTCCCCTGCTCTGGCCAGGGCTTGGGGAAGCCCAAGCTCGGGGAAGCCCAAGCTCGGGGCTTCCACTTCCCCCACCTCGTAATTCCCGACGCTGCTTGGGGCTTCCTCCCCTGGCAGCTCCTGAGGCTGGGGGCTTCTACTCCTGCCAGCTGCAGCTGAGGCAATCTGGGTTCGGGTCCTTCTCCCTGTCCCAGCCAGGGTTTGGGGAAACCCATGCTGGGGGATTCCACCTTCCCGCCCCCTGCGCCGAGGCAGCCCAGACTATGGGCTTCTGCTCCCTGTCGCTCCAGCTGGAGGTTGGGGCACCTCCCGCTGCTTGGTATCGGGACTTCTGCACACACATACACCCCCGGTGGCTCCTGCTATGGCTCCAGGCTTCCTCCCTCAGCAGCACCAGCCAGGACTGGAGGCTTTCGCTCCTGCCAGCTGCAGCTGGGGCAGCCTGGGTTTGGAGGGCACACACACACACACACACACCCCGTCCCCCACCTCCCCACAGGGCTTCTGCCCCCTGCTGCTCCAGCCGGGTCTCGGGGCAGCCCGGGCTTGGGGCTGCCTCACCACCACCACAGCTGGGGTAATCCAGGCTTGGGGCTTCGGTCCCCCCAGCCAGAACTTGAGGCCGTCAGGGCTCAAGGCTGCCCAGGTTCAAGGCATCTTCCCCCAGGGCTCCTGCTGGGGCTCAGGGTTTCTAGCCCCAGAAGAAGCCCCAGGGTGGGGCATCCATTTTTCCAGGAGGCCCCCAAATTGGCCAGGGGCCCCTGCCTTAATTGGTCACTGCCCTGGACTAGCAGCTAGGAGCCCCAACTGGGGCACTCCTACCAGCATGGGGGAGATCCTACCCATCTCCCAGAACTACAGGCAGCTTGGAAGCTGCTGCCTAGGCAGCACAGAAGTGAGGGTGGCAATCTTGGGGAGGCCGCCTCCCACAACAACTTTGCAAACCCTCTTCCCCCCCACACACACACACGCGCACACACACAGTCCTATTTTGGGTCAGGACCCCCACAGTTAGAACACAGTGAAATTTCAGATGTAAACATCTGAAACTGTGAAATTGACCAATTTTAAAACCCTCTGCCTGTGAAATTGACCAGAATGGACAGTGAATTTGGTAGGGCTTTATTTATAAAGCACTTTGAGAGCTACTGCTGAAAAGCCATGTAAGTATTATTATTAAGTATTTTTAAAAGTAGTTATTGACTAAACAGTACAGTAAAGTTTGTTTAAAATGGAGTTTAACTCAGCTATTGTGCACGTGACTGCTCCAAGTTTTCTGAATTTCTTCAGTATGTTACTTGGAATAAATTAATAGACCATATTTCAGTTTTTGTTAAATTTACCCTCATGAACAAAATCTTGTCTGTGGAAAAATAGATTACAAAAACATTAGGTGAAAACTGCAGTTTTCAAACCATTTGAAAACCAAGGGCATTTATTCCCAAGCATAATCTGTTGCATGGGGGTTCATTACTTATGCTACAGCAAGAGGTAGTTGAGATACTGAAAGTCTTAAGAGTTAAAAAAAGCTCACAGGCAATTGACATACACAACTTCACTCCAACAAGAGAATCAATACTTCAGAATTACTAGTCCAAATAAAAATTACAGTCCATTCATTGTTTAGGGGCTATTGTAACAAACATACCTTCTTATATATACCTGAGGTCTCCAGCTTTCAGGAATACTACAAGGGCCTACTAATTCTTTTCCACAGGATTTTATTCAGTTAACAACCTGCCAAAACATGTTTTAAAAAAAAAAAAGCCAAAGATGCTGAGACAGCTGAATTTTATCCCCCAGAACTAGGGTCACATGCCTCTGAGCTCTTAAAGCAATATACCCACAAATAGAGGGATGGTGGAATTTCTATGCAGAGGTTTTTCAGGAGCCCTCTGGTGGTTGGTAGACATCTATGGTCAGTGACACTCCAAGGTGTTTGCAGAAATCCTCCTTTTTATGGTCTCAAAAGGGAATGTTACTTCCAAATAAGATCTTATCTGTTGGTGGTGGGAACATAGTTACACCTTTTGAGTCCTCCAACACCTGGCCACCATGGGATGTCCTTGTAAATACTTTCATAATCTCCACAGTATCTGGATTTTGGATAAAACAAGTTCATGAGTCAAGACATGTGACCCAGATGCTTAAAGAGAAGATCACATTCTAAGCCTGTGTAAAGGCACTTGGGCATGTGTATTTTATCCTTTGTAACAGTAGTCTGAGCTTGAATGTTAGAATCTGAAATGTTCCCTGTTTTGCTATTGTCATGCCTGTTGAAGCTCTACAATAAAGGAATAACATTTATTTTTCAACAGTATGATATGGTAGATGATGGCACAGTGGATGAATTTGAAAAGCAGAGACCCAGCAGAAAACAGAAGAGCTTAGGACTCTTATGCCAAAAGTTTCTAGCTCGCTACCCAAGTTACCCTTTGTCAGCAGAAAAATCTACCATTTCTTTGGATGAAGTGGCTTCTAGTCTTGGTATGTATGCCTGAAATAAATGCTGCAAGAACTGGACAACTTCAGTCTTTTAAAATATGTCTACCACATAAAGGCACTTAAAGTAGATCCCATTTAAAAGAACTGAGCAGTTTGTAGAATACATTTAAGGTCTGGGTTTTTTTGTTTGTTTTTTGGAGGTGCTGGATGCACCCTTCTAGTTAAATTAAGCAAGAGCTGCAGGTGCTCAATAATTAAAAAAATCTCTACCACTACATTATTACATAACCCTATCATTTAAAAAAAAAGTTGCAAATCACTCTGAGTGCTCTCATGGTGAACTAATCTTGCTGCTAAATATGTATGCCTAGATTTTTATTTTCTTGCTAATTGAAGTCTGAGCAGTAAGCAGCAGGATTTATAAAGAACAAATCATGCAAAAGAACTGTGGCGAATTTTTGGTTAGAACTACAAATTGGTGGCTGAGGGAAATCAGTAGGTTGTATATCTTGATTTCAATAAATCATCCGATACAGTATCTTCCAGAATCTAAATAGTCAAATTGTCTTGGACGTGAACAATGTCTTGCACATTGAAAACTGGCAGAAGGACTGCAAAAAGGGGAATGATAAATGGCAATGTGTTGAACTGGGTGGAGGCATCTGGGTGGTGTGGTTCAGGGACCAATGTTATCTTTGGTCAACTTTAACATCCTCTTTAATTATCCGCAAGTAGTAAACTGTGTGTTAACTAAACGTGCAAGTCAGACTTAATCGGGAGCTATTGTGAACCTCATCCATGACAAAGAAATAATACAGAGGGACCCAGAGAGACTATAAATAATAGAGATAGCAAAATAAGACTCAGCCTGAATAAATGCAAAGTATTGCATCTGAGAAAAATAATTCAGATCAAAGATTTATTTCATAGGAAAGAGACAGCAAATTAGATAAGAACTTTCAGAAAATTCGATGCAGTTTTTATATTTTGGGAAGGAGGATGGAGTGGGAACAGAGAAGGGATTTACTCCCTATGTGGCTCTAGTGAGACAGCTCCTAAAGTACTGTGTTCATTTTTGGGCACCTCACAAAGACTTAGCGAAACAGAAGAGAATGCAGAAAAGAATAAATCAAATAGATAAGGACTGATTTCAATGGTAATCATTTTTTAAGAATTTTTTTTTATAGGAATTGTTGTTTTAAGTATTAGAGTTATCCCCATTTAGTATGAAATCCCAGTACTCTGCCCTCATGAAGCTGAACACATGTAGTCCTCCACTGCTAACTGGACATGAAATTACTTGGATTCTTTTTTCCTTTTGAGAAATATTTCATTGGTGACTTAAAACAAAGGAGTTTATTTAAATGTAGTAGTAGAGTTTGTGTCTTATTTAAAATAGTGGTTTGTTTTCCCCTTTGGTTTTCATTTCCTATACCACTCCTGATCTTTGTGTAGCAAATAATGGCTTTAATGTAGATTTTGCCATCAATAGGTAAAGCTGTATTCACTCAGCTCCTGGCTATGAAAAATCCATTTACGAGTCACAGCAGTACACAGTGCTTCCCAGTCTCTGCTCGGGGTCTATGGTACCTGGGCAGCCTTCATTAATAGGGTTCACAGATTAAAGCTGCACTTCTCTGGCTGTACCCATGAGAGAAGACAGAGGTGCAAACACCATCTCCCCTCTCCCAGGGTTAAACTGCCTGGGGGACAGTCTCTCCCTGTGATAGAAGTGTGTGAGTCAAGCCTACAGACTTTAGCTTAGATATCTGTCTGTTCTCTCCCTTCCTGTTTATCTACAAATTCTTCAGACATCACTCCAGCTCTCCTGCTAATTAAATCTTATTGTGAGGGATCTGATCCTGCATTCCTTGTTTGCCCAAAATTCCCACTGAAGTCCATAGGAATGTTAAAGCAATGTTAAGAAATGCAGGATCAGACTGCAGATGGAGACTAAATTTATCTCAATACATTACAGGGTGCATAGATTCTCACTGACTCTAGCAACTTAATCTTGTTTCTTCTGAACAGCTTCTTAGCCTATTGGCAGACTACTGAGGATTGGGATGGGAGGGAGGGTGACATTGGTGCGCTTTGCTAAAAATATATATCTTGATCTTAATTGTTTTGGGGCTCCAGTGCCAGTGTTTGGGGGCAATGTGGGGCTGGGAATCATTGTCAAGATATTTGTACAATGTGCCATCATCTCCTTTCCCATCAACATACCTTTGCTAAAGGCACTGGGATTCTATGCAGAGAATCATGTAGGAGAGGGTTTATGGTACTGGTGCTCAAAGGAACTAGTCTTGTAAATTATGTCTATGTATAGCACTCAGTACTTTCGTAGCACATTTCACACAAAAAATCTCCATGCACTTTAAAACAATAACAAATTGGAAAGTCCCAGTACCCACAAGACTGGTAAATATTATCTATATTTTACAGATGGGTAAACATGCACATAGAGACCCTGTCTACATTAGGGAAATCTTTCAAAACTTCCCACCATTACCAATGCTTGTTTTGCTCCACTGCTGGTAGCAATGCTGTGAGCCCTAAGGCAGACAGCTATTGCCAGCACTTTGTCATTTAGACTAGCTCTTAGTGGGATTAGATGACTGTTTAAAATGGTGACTGCAGGCATTGGCCTGGTAATCGTTCAGGCTCCAAACACTGCTAACGCCAGTAGAGCTGAACCAGAGTTGGTACCTATGGGGAATTTTTGAAAATTTCCCTTTGCGTAGATGAGGTCAGAGATTAAAGTCCTGCTCTTGCTCCCATTGAAGACTATAGGCCCAATTCTCCATTGCTTTACACTTTGTGATGTATTTGACGGGGCCTGTAATTTACACAGTACTACACAAGTTCAAGGCAATGGGAAATCGGGCCCAGTGGCTATACTCCCATTGATTTAAGTAGGAGCAGACTCTGTGACTTACCCAGGGAAATGATGAAAGAGGGAACTTGCTGTGAGTAGATTTTGTTCAGTGCACGATTATACAAAAAGGAGGAGTGAGTAGAAGCATGTTTAAAAACAGGCATGCTTTTAAAAACAGGCATGCTTTTCTTCCTTAAAACAGGAGTTGAGCGTAGGCGCATCTATGACATAGTGAATGTTCTGGAATCATTGCACCTCGTTAGCCGTGTGGCCAAGAATCAGTACTGTTGGCACGGACGACACAGCCTGAGTCAAACTCTGAAAAACCTTCAGGAAATCGGAGAGCTCCAGAAATACGAAGAACAGATGACTTACTTCCAGCATAAAGAGCAGGACCTTGAGTATAAATTTGGAGAATGTAAAAAGGAGACCTTTCTGGATTCCCAAGACAGACAGTTATTTGACTTTTCGGAGGCAGATTGCCCCTCTGGTAAGATGACTAATGGTTGATTGTATACAGATGCAGTCATACTGTTCAACATACACTGTAGCTTTTTTCTTATTTAATTGATTTGTTTATTAATGTAAAACACATGATAATGCTTGTGAAAGGTGCTGAATTCACCACTTCGGAAATGAGGCTCCTCTTTTTATTCACAGTGCAGGTACAGCACAGATGGCAGCAATTCCAGTCTTTCCCCTCACACTCAGTGGCCTGTCCTTGACAAGTCCCTTGAAACACATGTTAACTAGTTACCGTATATACTCGATCATAAGCTGGTTCGTTTATAAGCCGACCCTGCCCCCCAAGACGGATAAGTAAAAATGGAAAATTTTCCATGATCCATTCATAAGCCGACCCTATAATTCAGGGGTCAGCAAACTTTGGCTCCTGGGCCATCGGGATAAGCCGTTGGCGGGCCGAGATGGTTTTTTTTTTACCTCAAGTGTCCGCAGGCACAGAGGTAAACCTAAGTAAACAAAGTGTCCTGGCGTGCCAACTGTTTACCCTGACGGGCCGGGACATCAACTGGTGGGGAAATTTTTGGCAGGGAGAAGCTGGGGGTAACCTCTGTGACCACCCCCCACACTCTCCCCATTCCATCCCTTCCCACCCTAGCTGGGGCGGGCCAGGGGAGGATGTCTCTGGCCTGGCTGCAGCCTGCTCCGGCGGGCTGGGCCAGACCGCGCAGCGCAGCCGCAGTCTGCTCTGGCGGGCTGGGCCAGACTGGGCGGCACGGCTGCAGCCTGCCAGCCCCGGAGCTGCAGCTGCTTCGGAGGCTGTGGGGAGAGCAGCGTGGCCAGAAGCGGAGACCCTGCCTCTTCCCTTCTGGGTCTGCTGGCTGTGCTGCCTCTCCTTGCCCCCTCTGTTGGGGGAGGGGCTGTGTCCCATCTCTCCCCCTCTCTATATCCGTTCATAAGCCGACCCCCTTCTCTAATGCTTCCCTTTTTTACTAAAAACATTCAGCTTATGAACGAGTATATACGGTATGTTAAACAATCTGCTCCACCTTGTACGTAGCTGTGACGCTCTGAGTAAATTTCCAAGACCTGAAGAAGAGTTCTGTGTAAGCTTGAAAGCTTGTTTCTCCCACCAACAGAAGTTGGTCCAATAAAAGATTCCCTCACCCACCTTGTCCCTCTAGTTTCCATAACAGCCTTTTGTGAAGGACTTTGTCAAACATTTTGTTTCTCTCTTCTCCCCGTCCCCTTCTGACTGGTAAATAGTGCTTTGTCCTTTTCTATAACAGAGGGCCAGATCTTTCACTCTGTTACACTGGTCAAATGTTGGTATAAACTCCATGGCACTCAACAGTTATACTGCAATGGAGCAGGGAATCAGGCCCAGACTCCATAACAATTAAAACCAATTCTTTACGCTTTAATTTTTATTACCCTTTGAAGACGGCTAAAATGCTGATGTCCATCTGCCTTACATAATTATTTGCTGCCTGTAAAAAGATTTATGCTTTCCAACAAGGAAACACTTTATCCTTGTTGTACATGAGAAACCTTCTTAATGCTTTCTTGTCTGTAATAGATGACATATGTTAAGAGACTCGTGTTTCATTTGTAACGCAGCATCTGCAAACAGCAGAAAGGACAAGTCATTGCGGATTATGAGCCAAAAGTTTGTCATGCTGTTCCTTGTTTCCAAAACCAAGATAGTCACTCTTGACATAGCAGCAAAAATACTGATAGAAGAAAGCCAGGATGCAGCGGATCACAGCAAGTTTAAAAGTGAGTATCACTGTTAAGAAATGGATTAATCATCAGTCAGCAGGGAAATGGAGGCATATTCAGTTTGACATCTGAGATTTTTTTTTTTTTTCCCCCCATCTCAGACAACATGGATAGAATCATCTGTGATTAAGGGTTTTTTAACTATATATAAAACTTACCCCTGCCCTGAATATTCAGATATGGGGGGAGAAGAAGCATTCAGCTGCACAATTTATGGGTGTTGTCATCCAGCTACATCATCATTCAATCCGTTGGAGTTGTAGGGATTATAAAAACAAAAAATGGATTGATGTGAGTTTTCTCCTATGCTGCTGCCTTCAAGATGGGATGAAACATTTTTATCAAGCAGTTCTGCTCTTGCTTGGGAATGCATCCATTGGACAGAAGGAAGAGAGGATGCTTTTCCAAAGTGACTTCTGAATAAACTGACGTACTTCCTTTTAACCTATTTCCAAAGTTACCTTGACATTATGGCAGAAATTCATTATCTTGTACAGCAGTGGTCCCCAAACTTTTTCTGTTGTGCCCCCTCCTTACCCATAATCCAACCTGTCCTCCCCTCAGAGGCCATGGCCAAGAGCTGAGCTGTGCAGGGGTCTGGAGCTGGGAGCCACGGCCGGGAGAGGAGCCTGGGACTCGGGGTCGAGGCCAGGGCCGAAGCTGTGGCTGAGGACAGAGTGGAGCTGGGTGACGCTTCCTCCCTGACCCCCATGGGGGTTGACCTGGGCCCATCTCGCCCCCCCCCTCCCCCCCAAAAAAAATTCCTCTGGGCCCCCCAGGGGAGTGTGCTGCACAGTTTGGGGACCACTGTTGTACAGGCATATTTACAGTATATTTCTTTACACTTTTGTTTACCTTCCAGCAAAGGTACGAAGACTGTATGATATCGCCAACGTTCTGACCAGCCTAGGGCTCATAAAGAAAGTGCATGTCACAGAAGAAAGGGGTCGCAAACCAGCCTTCAAATGGATTGGGCCTGTGGAATTCAGTGGAAATAGTGGTAATTTGTGTAGTTGGTGGTTGGGAGGGGGAGGGCTGTCTGTTTGTTTTTATGTATTTTTCTGGAACTGTCTTCCAAAGTAGATTGATTTAAATCACTAAGTGGAAAGCCTCAGTTTAAATAAGCGGTTTTAATAATTTTCCATTTGTACTTCAGCTATTTTCTAAAGAAAGGTACATTCTCACTGGTTAATATAACCGTTAAAATATGTTGATTTATAGCTAAATAGAGCCTTTACATTCAATTTTGAATTTTTTTTTTTTGGCTACCTAGGAGGGTACACAATAACTATATACATTTATATAAGCAATTATATAGCTTAATATTGTCAGACTCTTATTTATTAATTGTACATTTTTAGTGTGTTAGAAAATGGTGAATAATATATTGCTTATTTACTACATAATTAACTTTGTGCTCATGATTTGTGTCAAGCTGCATTATGATGGTAACTGGAATTTAATTAAGCACACAACCTCATATAACATTTATTTTTATTAAACAAAATAAGCCCTTAATACAGTACATGACCTAGTGTGCCAAATTTATAAAGCCAGACCTCAAAAGTTAATTTGTTTTTCCCTGATTCTTTCTTTTTATAGAAAAGCAGCCTTTCATTGTTTTTGGTTGGTTGGTTGGGTTTTTTTTGATAGAGGCTCATGGATTCAGCATATTTCATTTTTTATTTAAGAGATTATAATAAGTTAAGGCCTTTACATAGTTTGTATTCATACAGATTTCTTTTTAAACTGGTTTATTTTTAAAAAGAAAAACTTATAATTTAAATAACAAAATCCAGTTTAAATAAAAAATTGTTTTTCTTCAAAACAATCAAAAAAAAATTTTTAAACCACCCTGCTCTTTCCCAAATTTTATGTGATTGTTTTCTAGTTGAAGAGTGAGTCAGAATTCATTACCTTCTGTACCCATAAATGTGTAGTGTCTGATTTCCTAATGTAGGTCACCTATCTAGGCAGCCTTTAAAATCCCTGCCAGAACGTGAGAATGGAGATATTTATGGATACATTTGGGGTTTTTTGTTTTTTTGCATGTTACACTAGTTTAAGGTGCAAAGCAGTGGAAAATCAGGTCCTTAGGGCCACATTCTGGCTCATCCAGTGGTGCTAAATAGGCAGCTGACTGTTCCCCCTACATGGGGAATCACCTGGGTGGTGCAGAGCTGCTCCTTTGCCTCCTGTCCCCTGACATGGAGGGGTTTGTTTTGGGAGATAAAGGGCATGACCATGGTGTGCCTACCTCCTGGTGATCCTTGACTCCCAGACATGCCCCTGGGAGACAGCTCAAAGTAGAGCCCTTATGCCGCTTTATTTTAGGGCAGGCCAACCCTAGGATAAAGGAGAAGTAAGAGTTCATGTTAATGATACTTTTCCCCATCTTCCCATTTTACTCCCTGCAGCTGCTCCAAGTAGAGCTTAGATGTAGCCCAGGATCTGAGCTATATACAGTCCTGGAGTGGGTATGGGGGACCTTGTCTTGTCTGCTAGCTCTGACATAGTTTTGTGGTGTTAGAATAGTACAGGGTTTAAAGGGGTTTTCTTCTGCTGTGTCTGTAGCAAAGCTCCATGACAGGGCAGAAGCTGCCATGACAACAGGTGTCCTTCAGGTGATAACTTTACAAAAACCAATTCCTTTAGATGAACTGAGAACTGATGTTCCAACATCTGCTGCTTTACCAGAACTGAAAAGAGGGGTGTGTGCCCAACATCAAACCTATGCTAATGGAAAACAGAGGCTTGCACGGCATGCTTCATTTAACACTGTTCAGCCTTCTGAAGGGATCAAAAGGAAGGTCAGCTCTGAACCCAACAGCCCACATAGGGAAAGGCAAGGTAACTACCAAGAATTTTTGCTCTTTCCTAACCCATTGTGTCTGCCACTAACAGTCACTTTTCAGCCTTGGAGCAGTGCTTTTATTTTTCAGTACATTTTCTGTTCTCTAAACACTGAAAGTATGGTGCTATTTCTTCTGCTGAAATTTGGCACAGTCAGATTAAGATTCTTTAAATAGAAAGAGAACAGATTTTTATTGTTTCGTTCCTGGTAAAATGGAGTTTACTGTAACAATCCAGTTTATAGCACTTTCACAATTTAGAATTGTAAAGTTATAAAGCAATTGCAGGTCCTTCCAGAATTCCCTGTCAACTGTCCCAAGCCTGCATGATGCTGAGGTGATTCTTGCAAGGCATTGAGGGTGCTCCGCTCTTCAGAGGTGCTGCTCAAACCAAATAGTGAATGTTATAAAAACATGCCTTGGTAGAAAAACTGCTTTCCATTCTTTGTATTACCAATATGAAAATGTGCTTAGTAAATCTGTAATTTAATTCAATGTCCCATTGTTCTTTCAGCTTGCATTGTAGGTTCAGATGAATACTGCTCCAAAATGATAAATCTAGCAGCTGTCTGCAGACAGAAGATGGAAAAGGATACAAAGTAAGTTGGGTCTTAAAACTTGAAGTCTGCACAGTTCCCTGCCCTGTGCATTTTAATTTAAGGTCAAGGTCTGTACTTGAGATGGAGATCTATAATTTCCAGTGACTTCCATTAGAGAATAGAAATTGGCTCTCCGGGTGGCTTTTGTTCTCCCAGGTGCATGTAAAAGATTCACACCAACATGCGTCACTTTTAATAGAGAAATAAAACAGCTATTGAGATTTTCAAAGCAGTCATGGGGAATTAGGCACATCTTCCTATACAGTTAATGGACTATATATGTATAAATCCCCTGGAGTGTTTTGAAATTTTCATGCAACATATTTATTGGATGCTTAGGGCTACAAGTTCTCCTACAGTGAGTAGGGCTCCATGTCTGTCACGGAGGTTGCAGAAGTCACAGATTCTGCGACATCTGACTTCTGCAGCAGCCATTGTGGCTAACCCCAGGGCCAGCCGCTCAGGTGGCCCCGCAGCCAGCCGCAACAGCCACTGCTCAAGCAGCCCCTGGCATCTGGCCCTGGGGACCACCTGAGCAGCAGTGCTAGAGGCAGCTGGAGCAGCTGCTGCTCAGCAGCCCCTAACAGCAGGCCCTGGCAAATGTTGCTCCTGGCCCTCCTCCCCCTAACCATCGGGCAGCACCTCCTCCTCCCCCCTCCCCCCCTGCCGAGCAGCAGCTCCCCCACAGCAGCGGTCCCAGGGGTGGCCAGAGCAGCCACTGCTTGGCGGCCCCTGGTAGCTGGTGGGCTGGGTCTGGTGCCCCTCCCTCCCAGCAGTGGCCCTTCCCCCCCCAAGATTTAGTCAGGAGTATTTATAGTATAAGTCATGGACAGGTCATGGACCGTGACTAAATCGTAGCCTTAACCATGAGCTTTTTCCACCCCAGTGGGGCAAGAAAACTGAATTTGTACTCCTTCATTCTTTCGTCAGGGTTGTGGGGGTTCAATTCCCTTAACCAGTTTCAGATGAGCTACGAATAGGCTTGGGTCATCCACTGGCAGGCCCAGGCCCAGAGTCACAAAGGTATTGAGCCACCTAACTTCTACTGTGACTTTGGGCTGCAGTGCCTCTGTACTGGTTCCCAGCCCTGTATCAGCATGGTTCTTAAAAATAGCCCATGCACACACTGGCTGCTGAATCCAGAACCTTTACGGGGGGTTTTGGACTTGTGGAAGTGCAACCTGTACAAGTAGAGCTTGTTGAAATTTTGAAACAAAAAACAGAATTTCCATCTTGCAATTGTGAAGAAATAATTCTTCCTCTCCCCTTTTTTAAAAAACAAACAAACAAAAAAAAACCCTCATTTTTTTCCAATGGAAAAAGGGGGAAAGTTTTTAATAGCTAAGAGATGAAACAAAATATTTTTAACAAAACGACAAATCTTTTGGGGTTTTTTGATCTACTCTCCATGCAAGTTAATACTGACTTTACTCATTAATTTGGAGCCAGAATATGCTAATGAGAGCTACTGTTTCCTCCCCATCTAAAAGGCTGGAAGTTAAACCCCACAGAGAGGCTTCTTTGGAGGAAAGGGGTAAGCATGCTACAGAGCTGTTCTGCTACACTGCCAAATTCCAAACACCCTCTGCTAACGTAGGTGAGAATAGCATGGAGCCCTTAATATGTGGGTGCATGTTGTATCTCCCTGCTAGCACTTATTGAAAGAACTGAATGGTAGCACAGCAAAAGAATCTGTGAGTCAGCTTCTCTGTGGTTTGACATGATATGTTAAGTGACTGATAAAGTGTTGGATAATTACTATATTCTGTCAGGTAGTCTCCACACACAATCCCAGAGAGCCTCACTGTTTTATTTTAAGGGTGGTTTATGGGGATGTCATTCTGAACTAAACACTTTTTTCCCCCTCTTTTCCTTACATCTTTTAGGAGTAAAATTTGTGCCACTGAAACAATCTTAAATTCATCAAGGAACCCAGCCATGATCTCTCCTTTCTCTGTTCTTCCGGATCCTGGGGACTCTGATTTTTGCTTTAACCCCTTACCTCACCCAGTGTTTCCTGTTGCTCACTCAGACATGTCACACTTCTCTCTGCCAAATGGTATGAATGGCCAAGTTTTGCAGATTCCCACTTTGGCAGCTTCCAAAACAGAGAATGGGAAACCTGCTCTGCTCCCCAACCAGCCTTTTGTTTACCTCCCCGCTGCATCTCTCTTCATGCTATGTGGCAGTCCTCAGGAAAGTCTGTCAACGGAGAACCTTCCAACTGCAGGAGAAAAGTGCAACAGAAGCCCTGAGGGGCAGGCCTCACCCCTAAAGCCACAAGCTGCTGTATGTGCTGTTAACTGTCACAAGCGTAGTTCCCAGAAGTGTGCATCTCTCTCCACGCCTGCAGCCAGCATAGAGCCAGCTGCTAAAAGGAAGACTATGGAGCAGAGTGATGTTCCCCTCTCATTGGTGCTACCCAAGGTAGGGAAGTGCATTTAATTGACACCCAACTTTGTTGCTAAGGCTGAGAGCAGGGGAAAGATACTTGTGTTACTTGAAATAGTCTTTTCTGCAGATAAACATTCACTGCAGATACCTATTTAGAGAAACAAATGCCACCTCCCCGCACAAGTATAATCAGGGGCGGGGAGAAATACATTTGGTGAAGCATTAATTGGAAGATGTGTGCTGTGCCTCTGGTGAAAAATGACTGCCTCACAATGAGGCACGGATCACCTGTTGCACAGAGCCACTGCCCAGCTCACTCCCTACCACAGAAAAACCTTCAAGAGGGGAAGAAATCTGTCAGGATTCCTCTCCACATTGTCCTGTCACTGGAGCTGCCTCCAAACCTGGCAGTTCCACAGGAGACATTGTTCCTCCACACCAGCTCTTGTCCCAGCAGGATTCACCTTGGCAGCATGGCTCATTCTACAGAGCCATAGGGGAGGTGATATGCATCTTCCCCTCTTCCCTGTCTTGCCTCCCTCTCTGTTCTCCCAGGCCAACTTCTCCCCTCAGCAGGATGAGTGGCTGGGGAGAGGATGGGGCCTTGGAGGCCAATGAGCCACTTTCTACAAAGGGAGGAGGATCACATTCAGAGTCCACTTCAGGTGCTGAAGTAGGGGGCAGGTCCTGGCCTCACATCAGTGTTTGTATCTGAGTTGTCTGGGGCATCTACAAGGGATCTACAATCCTTGTTGAGTTTTTCCTTCACATAAAAAAAAAAAAAACACCCCACTTCAGGGGTATTTCTGCAAGAGAACTACATCTATTTAATAAGTCTAAGCCTTTAAGGTGAAATTTAGCCCTGTGCAGATGGCCCGTGCACTGTGCAGCCCTCAAACCATGACTTAAGTGGTGCATAGGCCTTGTGCTGGCCCTCTGCACCTGGGTGAATTTCACTCTTCAGTCAAGGAAAGTATCTGAGAGATGGTACCTCATACACTATTTTAATTTGGACTCTTCCCTCCTAATTCTGTTTTTGCTCAGAAACCTTTTGAGCCACCTGATGTAGAACATCCCCTGGGAAGCAGCTGTGCCTCTAATGTGCATCTAGGAGCTTTTCATCTTGACTTAGGAACTCCTGCTGCTGATGAGGCTGCAGAAGAGGATACAACTAAACCTTTCGATTCTCAGGAGCAGGAAAAGCAATCTCGGAACAGAGACCTTGAAGATTCCTCACAGGGAAAAGAGCACATCTCTCAAGAAAATACCAAACAACCCTTCTTTCCACAGTATCTCTATGTGCAGCCAGCTGCAGGTAAGGACTATACAGATTCACAGGGATACATTATGACTAAACGATGAGGCCTAAACTTGAAAATTTAGGCATCTTAAGTGAGGTTCTTAAATCCAGATTTGGGCACCTAAATAAAAGTGACCTGAATTTCAGAAAACCTGACCACCCACAATCCCAGTGAAGTCAATGGGAGCTGCTTGTACTCAGCAACTCTCTCAAAACCAGTACACTTTTATTTAGGTACCTAAATATGGATTACAGCGAATAACGAGGGCTTCCCGTATTCCTAAAGTAACGCATGTTATCCATCACAACAGTCCTGTTCTTTGGCACCAGAGCTGCTTTTTATTTTTTTATTTTTTTTAATGTTTTAGCCCTTACGGTTGTAAAGAGAACCTTGAAAAGGAGAATGTATGTCTGGTGATGTAGTTAGGGCAACCTAACCCGCACGGCAGGCACAACTAGGTCAACCTTAGGAAGTAAGGTTGACCTAGTTAAGGAAGTATGGGCTGGATGAATGCACTACAAGGTGGGTAGGAAGCTGGCTAGACTGTCGGGCTCAACGGGTAGTTATCAATGGCTCCATATCTAGTTGGCAGCCGGTATCAAGTGGAGTACCCCAAGGGTCGGTCCTGGGGCCGGTTTTGTTCAATATCTTCATAAATGATCTGGAGGATGGTGTGGATTGCACTCTCAGCAAATTTGCGGATGATACTAAACTGGGAGGAGTGGTAGATACGCTGGAGGGGAGGGATAGGATACAGAAAGACCTAGACAAATTGGAGGATTGGGCCAAAAGAAATCTGATGAGGTTCAATAAGGATAAGTGCAGGGTCCTGCACTTAGGACGGAAGAACCCAATGCACAGCTACAGACAAGGGACCGAATGGCTAGGCAGCAGTTCTGCGGAAAAGGACCTAGGGGTGACAGTGGACGAGAAGCTGGATATGAGTCAGCAGTGTGCCCTTGTTGCCAAGAAGGCCAATGGCATTTTGGGATGTATAGGTAGGGGCATAGCGAGCAGATCGAGGGACGTGATCGTTCCCCTCTATTCGACATTGGTGAGGCCTCATCTGGAGTACTGTGTCCAGTTTTGGGCCCCACACTTCAAGAAGGATGTGGATAAATTGGAGAGAGTCCAGCGAAGGGCAACAAAAATGATTAGGGGACTGGAACACATGAGTTATGAGGAGAGGCTGAGGGAGCTGGGATTGTTTAGCCTGCAGAAGAGAAGAATGAGGGGGGGATTTGATAGCTGCTTTCAACTACCTGAAAGGGGGTTCCAAAGAGGATGGCTCTAGACTGTTCTCAATGGTAGCAGATGACAGAACGAGGAGTAATGGTCTCAAGTTGCAGTGGGGGAGGTTTAGATTGGATATTAGGAAAAACTTTTTCACTAAGAGGGTGGTGAAACACTGGAATGCGTTACCTAGGGAGGTGGTAGAATCTCCTTCCTTAGAGGTTTTTAAGGTCAGGCTTGACAAAGCCCTGTCTGGGATGATTTAACTGGGAATTGGTCCTGCTTTGAGCAGGGGGTTGGACTAGATGACCTTCTGGGGTCCCTTCCAACCCTGATATTCTATGATTCTATGAACCTAGCTACCACCTCCTGAGCGGATGGATTTATGACCGTGACAGAAAAACCCCTTTTTGTCACTGTAGTGTCTACACTACAGCAGTGTAGCTGCAGCTGTGCCACTGTAGCGCTTGTAGTATAAATGTAGCCTTAGTGTTTGGTGTCTTCATGAGCCTGAAATAATAGCTCTAGCAGGTGAGAACTGCCTCACTCATCTCAAGCAGGGCTTTGTGGATTCCACAGTCATGGAATTTGCTGCTGCAGAATTTGTCCTATTCTTATTGCCAGGCACGTAAATTCTTGTTTTCTGGCTCCCTGCCTTGCCAGAAGCAGTTTGCAGGTGGCACAAGGGATAGTTACTTGCATTACAATGCATGCTTTGGTCCATGGAGCTAGACAGCAGGGAGCCAGAGCTGAAGTCCAGTTTGTAGCCAACTAGAACTAGAAGATTATGCTGGTGAGTTCAGCAGCCTGGAGAACAGTGCAGCAACTGAGGTCCAGGGAGTTGAGTTGCTCTCCTAAAGACAGTTACAAGCTTTCCCCTTTCCAGGCACCTGAGTGAAGTCTAGGGAAGAGGATTTTATGGCAACAGAGTAAGCTGCTGTGGAATGGAGAGGTTGCTCTCTTGGAATTTAGTCCCATTGTGACACTGAGTCAAAGACACTAGAGCTCCACATGGATGCAGGGGTTCCCCTATGTGGAGCAACTTATGGGCTGGGGATCTTACTTTGAAAGGTTGATGAAGGTGTTCAGAAGATCCAATTTATTGGATGCCAGTTCAGATCCTATTGAAAACAATGAAAGTCTTTCCATTGACTGCAGTTAGTTTGATTGGGCCCTTAACAAGTGGATTTTTATAAATTTGTTATTTCTTTAAAGTAGGGCTGTCAAAAGATTACAAAAATTAATCGCAAGATTTTTAAAAAATCACGATTAGTCACAGTTTTCATCACACTGTTAATAATAGAATACCATTTATTTAAATATTTTTGGATATTTTCTACATTTTCAAATATTGATTTCAGTTACTACACAGAATACAAAGTGTACAGTACTCACTTTATATTTTTTATTACAAATATTTTCACTGTAAAAATGGATAAACAAAAGAAATAGTATTTTTCAATTTACCTCATAAAAGTACTGTAGTGCAATCTCTTTATCGTGAAAGTGCCTGACAGGGTGGGGAATTACAGGTAGCACCCTATAAATGTAAACAAACTTGTTTGTCTGAGCGATTGGCTGAACAAGAAGTAGGTCTGAGAGGACTTGCAGGCTCTAAAGTTTTACATTGTTTTATTTTTGAGTGCAGTTATGTAACAAAAACAAATCTACATTTGTAAGTTGCACTTTCACAATAAAGATATTGCACTATAGAACTTGTATGAGCTGAACTGAAAAATACTATTTCTTCCTTTATTACAGTGCAAATATTTGTAATAAAAAATAATATAAAATGAGCACTGTACACTTTGTATTCTCTGCTGTAATTGAAATCAATATATTTGAAAACAGAAAAACATCCAAAAATATTTATAATACATTTAAATTGGTATTCTATTATTGTTTAACAATGCTATTAAAATGGCTAATTTATTAATCATTAATTTTATTTTGAGTTAATCACTTGAGTTAACTGCAATTAATTGACAGCCCTACTTTAAAGTTGTGTATAAGTTGTTTTGTTTTTTTAAGTAGTTCAGTCAATTATTTCTATTAGTGGGGAAACAAGTACTAAGCTTGTGTATACAGGGTGCAGCTTATGGTTCTTTTGTTATTTCTATAACAGCAAATGGTGCTTGGTGCATTACAGATGTTGGCAATCTAAAGAGAGAAAAGTATAAAAGGAAGATGAGAGGAAAGGTGGGAGTATAACAAATGTAGAGAGACTGAGCAGCTCTCTCGGGCTGTTTATAACCTTCATATTACCTTTTTCCTAAACAACTTCACTTTCTGCCTTCTCCCTTTTACCGAATAACTGTGTAGTATGGTTAATGTCAATTAGCAAACTGCATTAATTCCTTAATTTGCTCTCTTTTTTTTTTTTTTTTTTTTTTGGTTTAGGATTAAGTGGTTTTAACTTCCTGTTTTCTGCAAACCAACCCCCTGGTGCTGTTGGTCTGCCTGCAAGCCAGTTACCATCTCTTGGTGTTCCCTGTGTGGTAGTGCCGTCTACATCCTTGGCACCCTTCCCTCTTCTCTGTTCTCTAGCAATCACCGGGCCGCTTTCTTCTGCTCCTCCTGGCTCTCTTCCAAACACTGCGTCCACGAATTTCAGCATGCCTGGCCTAACGTCGACAACGCCCGTCTGTATTGGCACCACAGCAATGGTTACTCCGAAGACCTCCAAAATACCTTCAGTGGATCCACAGCAGCCGGTTCCTTCTGCGGTACATTTGAGCCCTATACTTGGAAGATCTTGCCGCACCGTTAAACTGGAATCCCCAGTTTGTACGGGGCCTCCAGTCACCCTTCTGAAACTGCAACAGGTGAGGAATTAATTAAAGGGAAGCTATACGAAAGTGCAGTCCTGGGGTCAAGTGGCTGAGACTGAATGCAAGTGAATTGGTTTTGGAGTTATTTACTCAGCTTCAGAGTGTGTGTTCCTCTGTCTCAAAGTGAGAGGATAACAAACGCTGGTGCAGTGGTTACCATTGTGGTTAAATATTGACCCCACCCCTCCCACCCCCAGGACCCCTGCCGCATCCACCCCTCTGCCCTGTCCCCTGACTGCCCCCAGAACCAGGCAGGAGGGTCTCGTGGGCCACTGTAGTGGGTGCCCACCCTGCCCTGCCCCTAAGAGCCAGAGGGACCTGCTGAGGGACGAGGTGGGAAGTCCCGGTGGGGCTTACCTGGGGCGGCTCCCAGGAAGCATCTGGCAGGTCCCTCTGGCTCCTAGGGGGCGGGTAGCATAGCTGGGAGGGAGCAGCCGCTCCTTCCACTGATCACATCAAAAGTGGCGTCTTAGGCACTGACTCAGTGGGTGCTATGGGGCTGGAGCGCACCCACAGGGAAAATTTGGTGGGTGCAGAGCCCCCACCCACTGGCAGCTCCCAGCCCCAGCTCACCTCCGCTCCACCTCCTTCCCTGAACGCACCGCCCCGCTCTGCTTTTCCGCCCCCTCCCCCAGCTTCCCGCGAATCAGCTGTTTGTGCTGGAAGCCTGGGAGGGCTGAGAAGCAGGCGGTGGCTTCGTGCTCAGGCCCAGGGAGGCGGAGGTGAGCTGGGGCAGGGAGCGGTTCCCCTGCACGCCCCCCCGGGTTACCTGCTGCAGCACGGGTGGCCCTCCTCGCGCCCCCAGCTCCTCTCCGTCCGCCTCTTTGGGCCTGAGCGCGAAGCCGCCGCTTGCTTCTCAGTCCTCCTAGGTTTTCTGCACGAACAGCTGATTCGCGGGAAACCGGGAGGGGCAGAGAAGCAGAGTGGGGCAGTGTGTTCAGGGGAGGAGGCGGAGTGGAGGTGAGGTGAGCTGGGGCCAGGCAGGGAGCTGCTGGTGTCTGCTCTGCACCCACCAAATTTTCCCCGTGGGTGCTCCAGCCCCGGAGCACCCACGGAATTGGCACCTAAGGTGCCACTTTTAGAACTGGTTGTCCCTAACAACCGGCCAAAAGGGCTTCTAAATTTAACAACCAGTTCCAGCGAACTGGTGCGAACCAGCTCACCACTGATTGCAACCTAGCGTTAACAATAATGCCATTAACACAGTGTTTGTGATTTTTCTTAGGTAAAGAAATCACAAATACAAATTCAGAATGGGGAGGAAATCAGCTGTGTTTAGCTCTATAAATGAGATCAAACTGCATTCATTATAGTTAAAGCTACAATTTAGTCACAGGTATTTTTAGTAAAAGTCATGGACAGGTTATGGTCAGTAAGCAATAAACAAACTATAAATACCCCTGACTAAATCTCGGGGGGGGGGGGGGGGGTATTGCTACTGAGAGAGGAGCTAGGGGCCACTGCTGCGCGGGGGGAGTGCCCTGAGGCCAGGGACACCAGCTACCAAGGGCCAATGAGCAGTGGCTTCTCTGGCTACCCAGGGACCGCTGCTCAGGTAGTCCCTGGGGCCGGCTGCCCAGGGCTGCCCAAGTAGTGGCTAGTGTGGCTGGCCTCAGAGCCGCTCCAGCAGCAGCCAGTGCAGCTGGCCCCGGGGCCACTCCAGCAGCAGTAAGTGTGGCTGCCCTTGGGGCCACTTGAACACTGGCTCCAGAGCCAGCTGCTTGGGTGGCCCTGGGGTCAGCCACACTGACTGCTGCAGAAGTCACGGAAAGTCATGGAATCTGTGACTTTCGTGACAGACATGGAGCCCTAGTTGTAGTACCTCACTACCTGCTTCTCATATCCACTATGCTTGTTTTTGCTTTAGTTTTACTCTTTTAAAATTATTATTTCGCTACTGGGGAATGGCCGAGCCATTAAAAATAAATAATATTTTTGGATGTTTGCAAACTTATGAAAAATGTTGTTGTAACAGAGAATTCAAAAATCAATCCCAATATAACCACTAAAAAGAGTGATAGGCTGCATATCCAAGGAAAAGGATTGTGTTATAAAGCTCTCGCTAAAGTTTTCAAACCAGATGTCTAGCACTAGGCACCTAAAATCCATATTGGGCACCTGACAGTGAGGTAGGGCAGGCACTTTAAACTGAATTTGTCTGATTTTTTTTTTTCAGTTGTGTAAATATGAATTTAGGAGCCTAATTTTAGACACCTGGTTTGAAATTCTCACTTTTGTGTGTTCTCACTTTTGGATAAGACACTTCTGAGTTGCTTTGTTTCATTTTTATAACTAGCCATCATCAACCCCACTTACTCCGAAGAGCATTCGTCCTACACATCACGAAGCATTTTTCAAAACTCCCGGCAGCCTTGGAGATCCAATTGCATGGAAGAAAAATGAAGGCAACCAAACCAGAAATGCCAGTTCTGTTCAGAGAAGACTAGAAATCTCCAGTAGTGGCAGTGACTAATCCAGCTCATTGCAAAGGTGTGGTCATAGTGTAATATGACTTCATAGTTGTTACAAAAGAAGCAGCTATCGCATAACAAGAGGAGCATGTTAAAATATCATCCCTATTGGCACACTTCCCTGTTGTGTATTTGCCCACTAGTTCTTTAACTTTCTCTTTCATGAATCATCCCTATCACTGAAATATCTTTATTAATTGCTCATTTAATACTAGTTAGGGTTCAAACTTTGTGCACGGTGCAGCAATGTGAGCATCAAATTGCATTTGTGGTTTTAATTTGAAAAATATCATATTGCTGTGAGGAGATGCAAACAGACTTACTGGAGTCTCATGGAGCTTTTTTGTTTTTTCTTGTTTGTTTGGGTGGTGGTTTTTAAATGAGCTGTCTAGCACTTATCTAGGGTGAGTGTTTTTTACATGTCCTCTACTTACCCTGAGTAAATCTGTGGTAAAAAACGATAACCTCCTGCAGTTGTAAAAGCAGCGGCTTGCTGGGTTCCAATCTGTCAAGTTCTGCCTCAGCAATGCAGCCTCTTGTTATTTATTTTGTACATTGGAATGGGATTTAGTGCAAAATTTTTGCAGCCTCAAAATAACAGATTTTCTCAGGGTACGACTACTTGAATATTAATTGGCTGTTGTACAGTTTTCCCTGCACTTGTTTTACAAAAGCCTAATAAACTTACAGTATGGATGAATGTATACATATGAAAAATATTAAGACCAAAATAACTGTGAATCTTAACTTTTGTTGGTAGTTGTGTTAATGAACTGTATTAGTCCTTGTCTTGTGTCTTTTACTGGGCAACATGTACAAGTTAATTGACAAATAGTCTAGAAGCTGGTTCCTAAATAACACAATCTGACTAATTTGGGAATAGTGAACCTTTGAAATGTGTGTATTAAGATTTCATCTCCAGTTGAAATATATGGTCTAGAATCTCTCTCTAAAGCCAGATTACAGTGATGAGCAGTTACTCACAAGATTAGATCCAGTTTCCAAAGGGAATACTCGTGTGCATAACTGTTCACCAGTGACAATAGGGGGTTTTGGTAACTCTCATTAGAAAGAATAGTTATCCAACTACGTTTTAATATGGCTGGAGATTAAGAACAGGGACGGTCCCCCATGAATGGCATGTTTGAATACACTTGAAAAATGAGAGGGTTTGCATTTAGGCACATATATGGCTAAATTGTAGAAAGAGAATATCAATGAGCAGGAGTCATGAATTTGGAAAGAGGGGGAGGTAGTTACCTTTATTCCTGGAGGGAAGGTAGGAATAAAGAAAGGCATATGTCACACTTAGCGTTCAGAGTCCTCAAAGAGTGGAAATAATGTAATGGTTAGTACTGATTTGAGATATTTTCACAAACTTAGTCTGCAATTGTATTTTTTCAGTCTTTTTTAATATTATCATGTTGTTTTGAGTTTTTATCAGAAATATGGGTAGCCACATCAGCTCTTTCATGCAGTGAGAATGTTGTGTGTTTACTGGTATTGCTCCCTTGAGAGCAGTCAGTCTAGTGTGCTACTTCTCCAGTCTTGGGAGTGAAAGATGTTGTTGTGGGTTTTTTTATAAGGAAATGTGTCCTTACAATATGGAATTTAAGAATGAATTTTAGTGGAGCTGGAAGTGGGAGTACGGTGGCCTTATGTTAGAAGTAGACCAATAACAGCCTTATAAGGAGGGAGTATTTTAATCCCTTTTGAAAAACAAAAACAACTTGAGAGGAGAATTATAACAGAAAATTTCAGGTGTGGGGAAGGGAAACCTTACCACTGTCAAAACTTGTTTTATTTTTTACACTACAGTTTTGCAAGTTTACATGATTGTATTTGATTCATTTTTTTTCTTACACACCCAATTATAAATTGCTTTCCAAAGTGAAATGAAGTCTGTAGCTAACATTAATAGTGCCAAGCATAATTGCAGCTACTGATGCTGTGATTCTTCCTCAGCTAGTACAAGTCAGTACCTGTTCAGGCCTGAAACAGACTGCTATTGTTCCAGATTGTGAGACTAGTGTAGATTCTCCGTACAATCTGTTTGCTCCTGTACTTGTGAGCAGCATGTTAGTGAAATGGCAGTCTGGAAGGAGGAGGAGTGATCTAAAATATTAAGCCTTTTTACTCCACAGTTAAATCATCATTGCAAAGCCCATCTCATTTTGTCAGTAAGGGCGCTCTGTTTCATGACTGACCTAATTATTCTTAAACAAACAGGGACAGAAAATCTTCAGTTTCCAATATCTACTTCCACATGTTGACTTTTCATTAAAACACTGGGCCTGATTCTGATCTCATTTTCACCAATGCCAATCAGGCATAACTCTATTGAAGTCAGTGGAGTTAGACTAATTATGGTGAGAGCAGAATCAGGCCTACTTAGCTTTTGTAATATACAGAGAGTGCAAGGGTTGCTAGGAGGCTTGACGCTGTCCCATTTATGTCAATGGCAAAACTCTCACCCAGGTAAATAGGAGCAGGAGCGAGACCACTGTGGAGTGTAAAATAACCTATCAAACCATGCTACCTGCAGAAGAACTTGCAGCAGTTACCCCAAATCAAGTGCAGCAGACCTATTTGTGGTAGTCGAGGCAATGGCAGTCTATACTTCCTCTTCCATTGTGTTCAGTGAAACAAATCAGCAAAACCGCGAAAGAGAAGCAGGATTGGAATTTGCACTGAGGAAAGTGCACGTGCACGATATTGTGCAGGGTTTGTGAAACCTTTATGCTCTGGTACAAGTGTTGGGGGGGATGGGGGTGGGGAGGGGGGTGTATAATTTATATACTTGAATCTACCTACCAGGTTTACATTTCTCAATTTCTTTTGTAAAAGGTGCTATTTCTGTATTTAAAAAGCTGTATTTTTAATGTAAAGCTACTTCCTCTTTGTATCATTGCACTGCTAGTTTTATATAGATATTAATTTTATTGCTGCTTGTAACTGTTCTTCACTGGTTCGACATCACTTCCTCCTTTTCCTCTTATCTAGTGATGTTCTTTGTAGCTACCTGCGTATAACTGTACTACAAGCACACTGTTGTTGCGTTGCATTTTTTTAATACCTTTTAGAAAAATCTTAAAACTTTACAAAATAATAAAAGAACTAAAAAAAAAAAAAAAAAAAACCACAGCCATGGTGGAGGAGTTTTTTTTGCTTTTATCTATCTAAAATGTATCCAGGTTGCTCATCACTTTAGCATCTGAGCACCAAATACAGTAACTGAGATCCACACAGAGCACCTCAGAGTGGTTTCCAGGGTCTGCAGCTTTCCTTACCATGGGTGAGATTCTCACCTCTTCTTTGGCCCCTGTATACTGAGTAAAAGCCCCAGAATAGTGCAAAGGGGCTCTGTCATAACTATACAGCCAAGGGTAGCCTAGAATTCCCTCCTACCTGTAAGGGGTTAAGAAGCTCAAATAACCTGGTTGGCACCTGACCAAAAGGACCAATGGGGAAAGAAGATACTTTCAAATCTTAGGGCGGGGAGGGAGGCTTTGTTTTGTGTGTTCTCTTGGGAAGCAGAGAAGTATCAGGTCATAAAACTCCTTCTCCTATAAACCATCCTAAAAGTCTCTCATATTACAGGTTTCAGAGTAACAGCTGTGTTAGTCTGTATTCGCAAAAAGAAAAGGAGTACTTGTGGCACCTTAGAGACTAACCAGTTTATTTGAGCATGAGCTTTCGTGAGCTACAGCTCACTTCATCGGATGCATACTGTGGAAACTGCACACAGTATGCATCCGATGAAGTGAGCTGTAGCTCACGAAAGCTCATGCTCAAATAAATTGGTTAGTCTCTAAGGTGCCACAAATACTCCTTTTCTTTTCTCATGTTACAAAAATTGTAAGTAAAAGCCAGGCAAGGTGTGTTAGATTATCTTTTGTTCTGCTTGTGAATTTTTCCTTTGCTGGAGGGAGGTTTATTCCTTTTTTTTGTGTGTAACTTTGAAACTAAGCCTAGAGGAAGTTCTATTGTGTTTTTGAATCTTTTGTTACCCTGTAAAGTTATTTTCTATTCTGAACTTACAGAGGTGATTTTTTAACTTTTTTCTTTTTTTTTTTTTTAATTAAATAAAATCCTCCTTTTAAGAACCTGACTGATTTCTCTATTGTCCTAAGACCCAGGGGTTTGGTTCTGTGATCACTTTGTAACCAATTGGTTAGGATATTATTCTCAAGCCTCCGCAGGAAAGGGGGTGTAAGAGCTTGGGGGGATATTTTGGGGGAATAGAAACTCCAAGTGGTCCTTTCCCTGATTCTTTGTTAAATCACTTGGTGGTGGCAGCGTACCATCCAAAGGCAAAGAATTTGTGCCTTGGGGAAGTTTTAACCTAAGCTGGTAGAAATAAGCTTAGGGGGTCTTTCATGCAGGTCCCCACATCTGTACCCTAGAGTTCAGAGTGCGGAGGAAATCCTGATGCTCTAAAAGTCCCAGTACAGAAATTGAGGGAGACAGCCACAGGCTGTCCTTCAAAAACTCCCTCATAAGGCAGGTATGTTAAGGGGCTATGGGCCAGAGGGGAGTGTCAGGCTAGGGCCATGGCACATGCTGCAGAGATTCTGGGCAGTGCTGGTGCCATTGTCAAACAACAAACTGCTTTGAGGGTCTCTCTAAATTATGCTAGAGTTGTTCTGGCTTCCAGAGTAGCTCAGAATCAGCAGGGCTCAAGAATGGCTTAAAGCCATCTTAGCCTCCCTCAACTGCAAATTCTGGGCTGTGCCTCTCAGAAACTTAGTCCTGAGTCTCACACCATGTGTTCTTTGCTGCTGTAATGCCTTGACTTAGCTATTACAAAAGAGACAAGTTTTGTAATGTAACCCTTCTACCAGGTGGAGCCAGCAGCAACAAGGGCCGGGTTCAGGGTTCTAGGGGTTCCTTTTCAACAATACAACACAAAACTGGCTCGAGCCCCCACCCAGTGACATGGGACAATTACACTCACCCCCTGGGCACCTCTAAGAGGCAATGCTTCCCCTCTCGCAAGCACAGAGTCTTAGTGTAGCAAAAACTTTTAATAAAAGGAGGGAAGCAACTCAGCATTAATTTGGGAAAACACTGCAACTAGGGTTCATAAACATAAACCATGAGCAAAAGATCCACCCCCAAGTAAGTTGGGCAGCGTCCTTTTCCCCTCAAGTTCTTAAGTCCAGCAACCCAAAAATCCCTTTAACATGCCCATTCCTTCTCTGTACCCCACTCACAGTTGCTGTCCTTGGCCAGTGTGGCCCCAGAGTTCAGAGGTTCGTCCACAGAGTTCACCTCCCACCCTGCACAGCTCAGGCACTCGCTCATCGCCCTAACAGCTGATTGCCATGCCTCTGCGGGGGGGTCTACCCTGGCCCTCTCCACCAGCTTCTTTGCCACGGCTCTCTGCCAGCCGCCCTCAGTTCACACAACAAGGATAACAACCCTTTATGACTTCTGCTCCAGGAGTCCGGGGATCCAACACCAGCCACAAGTGATCATTTGGACACGCAATCCCATCATTCTGAGCACCTAGGCAGGGTGGGTGTGTCCATGCAAACAAGATCCGCTTCTGAAATCTTTTTCCACAGCTCACCACTAGATGTCAGGGGAGAGCTCATCCAGAATCCGCTTACACTAACATGCTCTGATGCATGGTCAGGTGTGGATTCAGCCTAGTCTCCTGCTATGTCACTCCATAGACAAGGATGCTCTGTCCCCTGCTTTCAAGAGTGTCATCCTGGGTGCTGCTGTAAACTCTATTGTAGCTGCTCTAAGCTGATGAGAAAGAACTCTTCTGTCTGCTTAATTACTCCAGCACCTGTGAGCGGCGGTAGCCCTGTTGGTGGGAGAAGCTCTCACACCAACATAGCACTGTCCACACTGGCACCTAAGTCAGCATAAGTATGTCGCTCAGGGGCGTGGCTAATTCACACCTCTTAATGACATAATTAACGTCAACTTAGGCTGTAGCGTAGCCATAGCCTTAAACTGCATGGAATTCTGGAGACCTGGGTTGTATTCCTGCCTCAAAAAGAAAAGGAGTACTTGCGGCACCTTAGAGACTAACCAATTTATTTAAGCATAAGCTTTTGTGAGCTACAGCTCACTAGCTGTAGCTCACAAAAGCTTATGCTTAAATAAATTGGTTAGTCTCTAAGGTGCCACAAGTACTCCTTTTCTTTTTGCAAATGCAGACTAACACGGCTGCTACTCTGATTCCTGCCTCAGTCACCGGCCTGCTGCATGACCCTGGGCAAGTCATTTCTCCTCTCTGTGCCTCAGCTTCCGTATCTGGAAAATGGGGATGATGAGACCGACCTTTGTGAAGGGCTTTGAAATCTACTGATGAAATATGCTATGTAAGACCTAGGTATTATTATATGGCATTAGGAGCTCCCTTGTGTTATTCTTTTCTACTTCTGTACCAAATGTGCTATTTTCAAGTAAAATAATAGGATTTTTTTTTCTAACTTACAACCCTCCAAACTCAGGGTCCAATTCTGTGCCTCCAGAAAGTTTTACTTCACTTTTGTACCTTGATTCTGGGATGCTCCAGGGACAGGAACAAGCCCAAGCGTAAATTAGAGCATCCTCAGAGTCACTACAGAACTCTGCTTTACTACCCTGCTCCCTCCTCCACTCCAACCCCTTGCCCCCAACACTGCAGGTTGAGGGGCAGGCGGTGTAGGGCGCCTGACAGCAGCCCTATACTGTACTTATGCTGAGGGAATTCCCCCCACAACCAGCTGTATGGTTGCTATATGCAGCCAGAACAGCATCTAAGGGCCACATCAGGAGTCAAAATCTGTCCCCTAGTCTGAGATTGAAGATGAGTTTTTCCATCTTGTGCATCACCTCCACTAAATAAACGCTCTGCTGTCTAAATCAGTCCCTCAGTTGACGAGTGGCTCTTGCACAGCCCGTGCAGGATGGTAGAAGGGGCCTACCCAGAAGCCACCCCAATCCTCGGCACAGTTGTACCAAGGCATTCCACAGGAGCAGTCCCAGCATTTTGCAGGTCCCACTTGCTCCTGGGGAGCAAATCATCAAAAAGGAAGTGGCAAGGAGGCCAGGCCATGGACTGCCCCCTGGAACCTACACAGTGAAGCCCATGCACCTGAGTGAGTGGGCCATGGCTTTCTAATACATGGAGCAGGTTGTGCATCCCACCTTGTCTGTGTATGCAGCACATCTATATGCAGCTCCTCTGGAATGTAGAAATTAAACATTTAGTGAGATGACAGATTGTGCATTAATTATGCTGGTCCATCCCATCCCTCTAGCAACCACGCAATATTCTTGCCCTTGTTCTCCACGAGATGGCACTAGTGTCTATGTGACAGCTATAGTTATAAAACTAAACACTTTTTTTTTTTTAAAGTCAGCCACCTACATATAGCCCATCATTTTCAAAGCGGGTGGGTTGCTGAGAAGCGCAGTCAGGAAAGTAACAAATACTTTCCTCATGGATTGTATTTTCTAACTAGACAACCTACCTACCTCTCAATTACTGAAGGACAATCTCCACTCATTGATATATTTTGCTTTCCACAACCAAATCTCCATATAACTTTTCATGAGTGATGTACTCGAGTATTCAGATTCTAATATCTAAACTGTATTGTTAAATCTATTCACCTAAATTTGGGTTATTGCTGATTATATAATCTATGTATCATATGACTTTTAAAAACTAACTTTATTTGTGGATAATCTAAGCACTATACCCAGATGTGTACAGACACTCTTTTCCCAACTTATGTATTAGATATTTT